AGAAAACTCTAATTACAAGAAATACTAATTACTTACAAGATATATACTTAATTAATCATTATCAAAACTTGTACATTTGTACATTGATTTAATAAATTCTATGCCTCTAATGACAAATGATTTAATTAATTAATACTTAGGTTTTAGAACAAAAATATTTTTTATTTATATAAGACAACTTTGACAAATTGTCAATAATTGCCGTTATATTATTTTTTTTTGTATAAGTTATAGTTTTCCAAACAATTGAATTATACCTAATACAATTTAAAAAATTGCAGTTATTATGTGAAAATGGGTCTCACACAATTGAAGACTAGGTATTTTGATGTAGTATTAAAGCGAAACCAAACCTGTAAAAAGACCGGCAAACGTTTAGAAATGGTTGGCATCACAATGGCCGTTTTGTAATATCAAAGTGAACATCGGCGAATAAATCGTTATGCTTATGTCGCCTGATATAAATCATGGGAGATATTGAGTTCCGCTCTCGCACAATAGCTAGTAATATAAATAAATTCAAATTTTTATAAAACAGGCACATTGATAAAGTCTAAAATCCAGTACCAGGCTCACATGAGCACCCGTGTCATAAAAAAATACGAGGAGTTATCAAAAGGGCGCAGTAAACCCGACATAGTCTACGACGCTATAAACTGTGCAGAAAGTAATCTGACTCCCTGTTGCGCTATCTTAGTTGTACTGTATGGTCTTATAATGGATGGTAATAAGATTTGCAAAGTTTCTGTTATTTGCTTATTTCATAAACTAGAGGTTAGGCCTTCCTACGCGTGCAATACATCTTTATTTTATTTAAATACATTCTAATGTTATTGCTTATAATGTTGTCATTTATAGGTGAATTTGTTCACATTATAAAGAAATAACTAAACGGATATTTTTTATAATTAGTTTAGAAATTAAATAACTTCATCTCTGAAGGTGACTATAAGAAATCTTAATGGTATTTTGTAGTTAATATCGATGAAAGTTTGATTCAGATAATTTGATAAAAATTATTTAAGAGCCTACTTTTCAAAACCTTCGTGTGACCTACACTGTAGAGCTGAATCCATAAAGGTTGTTACCAGTTTCACCAACCAAGATACTGAGCGATGAAATTGAATAAGTTCCACTTCAACAACAGACATTTTTGACGTTAGACGTTTCTATACCAAATGGTTTAGAAATTGTTTCGAAAATACCATCGGATTCACATATGTGCTACACAATCTTTATCTATGATAATTTAGTGATTACTACGAGTAATTAATGTTGAAGTTTGATATGATAAATATCGTATTGCAGATATTAAATGAAAGTAAAAACATTCGAGAATAACTGCTGCTTTATTGGTACTAAAAATACAGAATTTCGTACATGGATGCGAACAGAAAATGTTGTGACGTATTCCTGACTTTGCTGACATTAAACATATTGAATACTGTGTAGAATGTGCAGGGTTTTGTTATTAAAAACTGAGTTAAAGGCCCTGTCTTCTAATATAAAATATTGTTAAATATATTATACAACTTACTAAGTAGTGTGTAATATTTTTAACTTTATTTTTTTTATACAGTATCATATTTACGGAATGTCGACTTACCTTGCATGTATTTTGCTGATAAAGTTATCTAGAAATTTACGTACTATAATTACTTTTAATGTATGTTGTTCATAAGTAATTTAGGTCAATTACTAAAATGTACACGTTCACATATTATTTATGTTACTAAATTACTGTATCTGCGATTATCGAGCGATGTCCGAATTCTGATGTTCTGAATCATGTTTACTACTTGCTAGTTCTGTGTGATTAACGAGACACATAAACAAACAGATTCTGTCAAACCAATTAAGATAGAGCTATGTAGTTACATAGTATAGATAGATATTTATACTGTCAGATTACTAACCGTTTAAATAAAGGTAACAGCATTTTTAGTAGGTACTATAGTAGGGTATTTGGTAGTTTTATGATACGTATTAAATATTCTGACCTATTTGTTAAAATAGCAGTGTCTGCTGTATTGTATTTTAATTTAGGTATTAAAACCAGTACTTAATTGTGCTGGTTTTGTTAAAAAATATAGGGAAATTCTAATTAATTTATCTTTAAGGGAAAAGTGTAAAATAAACCAAATTTCCTTTGAATGGACATTTTTCTACCGCTTTTCTTATGCATGTACATGTGCGGTTAATAAAATATTTATTTGTTAATTTCAAACACTATATCAAAGGTTGATGAAAATTTATTTTATGAGGCAACGTTTCTCTGGTTTGTTTAAGTAAATATGTATTAGTGTAAGTACCAGATAAATTTATTATTAATGAACCTTTATGGAATTTATTTATTATTTAATGAATTTATTATATTTAATCTTTCATCGCACTCTCATAAAATTGAAACAATTGTCGTGAAACATGAATATATTATAAAACATTTTTCTACTAATACATATTATTAAAACTGAATATGTTTTTAAAATTATAGAGATATAATTATCAAAAATGAATTTTTATTCTTTGAAGCGAACAGTGTATCTGCTAATTATTTGGTGCCCATATTGAACATTCAATTGCATAACATATTCGAAAGATTACAGTTCAATTGGTGGTATAAATTGAATTTTATCTCGATACTTGGAGCGTCTTTTCGCACATTGACCTATAAATCTACGATGACCTGTGGTTATGAGTGGGTATAATTATTATTTAGTGATGCAACCCATACTTATTTTACATATCTCTCTCTCTCACACACACACACACACGCAACATACACGCACTCATGTAAATGATGATAAGCTTAAGTTAATACCTTATTTGATTGTCTTTTTCTAATTAGTAATTCCAATAATTGTAAATTGTAAAAGAAGGGAACTGGTAAAAAACAAGTTTCTTCTTACTTTGGGTACCAGGGAACAATTTAAATTGTTATTGTCGAATCATACAATGAGTATAATTTATAATAATTTTTATTTGTAATCCAATTACCAGGTAACAATTTAAATTGTAAATTTAAATTGTTACATGGTAATTGGATTACCAGGACTTATGATTCGACGGACCTCCGATTCCTCTGATAGCTTTTTGATCTTCATAAGATCATATAAAAACTGTTTGTATATTATTTTCAATTTTATTTGCAATCTGGATATTTTTTTTAAACTGAAAGCAAATAGAAATGTTTCAAAAAGTACACTCTGCCGAGAACGTTTAAAATCTCTATATTATAATTATCAATCAAAACGTTTCGAATCGAATAAAGTTTCTCATAAAATGCTATCCATTTTTAAGCTGACATTATCCTGTAATTTCATTACCTGATCTCGCCTAACATCTGGAACATAGTGTATAAAGCACGCCTCTTAGCGCTTAAAACCACACAACCTTTTACAATCCTCAGTCGGTTTGTAAAAAGTCAGTTTTTACAAAGTCTATTTCACTAATTTATTGTTTTGTAGTGAACCTCCTAGACTAAGTTCCAATTTTTAAATTACAGTTTAGCGTAATATAATAAAAGAAGCTGTTAAAATCATTTATTGCAACAGAGTATTCTTTTGATATATTATTTTCTTGAAAAATATTTTCGTGCCAAACGCGTGGAGTTGATGTAATAAATTCTGCTTTCAATTTCTTTTATGTCACGTAGCGTTTTTCACATAGCGTAGGTATGTTATTTTGTCACGTTTAAATTTTTCACATCAATTTGACTTTATCTGCAACACTACGACTAAATAATAAATAGACAATTGTTATGAATAAATCTATAACTGTTTCTGCATGAAACATCTTCAGTTTAGTTGGACTGTCTTTATTTCTAAAAGACAATTTATAAACGAATAATTATGTAATTTATTACTATTGCATTATTATAATGGAAAGATACCTAAATGTAACAATTTATTTATTCGTTTATTCGCATATATATTATAATAAGCACACAATGCACATAAATAATTATGTTCTTTGTTTAAAGAGTGTAGTATTTTTCATAAATATCATGTCCATACTTCAAAATACTAATATGTAATGCAAAGGCGTGTCTGTTCGTCTATTTGTTACTTTTAACGATTAAATGTCTGCACGAAGAGACTAATGAACTGGTTACGTGCGTGAACTCCGTTTTCAGAGTTTCTTAAAAGTTTCCATCTAGTTATATACGCTGGTATATGAAGCCGTTTCTAGCCCTATAACATAAAGTAGTTTTTCCATTTATCGATAGCACGTAGCACATTGGTTTCGATTGCCGTGAATATAGTATAAGCACGCATCTAGACTAGGTTTATACCACTCTTTGTGAGAGTAACCGGCCTTATCTGAGCTCTTTTATGGCTATTTTACGATTATTGCCTCTTTAAAATGGTTATAAATGCGTACGATATGAAATTTCTATAGAGAAATAATTTTAAATGGATATGTTCATTTAAGCACTTATGGCTGTATAATTAATTTTTATAGCGTCAGCGAGAGATGGGAGCCCGCGGCGTCGGCTTATTGTGTCGTTTATCTTTTGTCGGTACTTGCTCAGTCGATCTAGGCAGGGCTTTATTCCATTCCCGATGAAACATCTCATCCAATTAATATTAAATCGTATTACCTAATGTGGCACTCACGTTGTCATCAATTATTGGTTACTTGCACAGCTGTCCTGTTTATATTAAACAGGCTATTGGAAATGTTCACAAGAAATAAAATTGAAACGAGTTGCAAATAAATTTCGGTTATTGAATATGTTTATACTAAATTATAATTGGAAAAAGATAATGTTGTCTGCAACTCAATTTATCAGCTTTGTACTGTTTTCATAATATCCGTTTATTACTTTACTGCTCTGCATCACGTTGTCGTGTTTATTTACCGGTTAGAACAGTCATATAAAAAATATAGAGATGATTGACGAATTGTTAGCTCGGTTTAGATCTGTCTTTAAACGTAGGTAAATTCAAGGCTGACTTTAATGTGTTGTTTAATTGGTATGTCCACTGTTGTTGCAGGGCTACAATGGTGTGTGCGTGTGCGGGGCAGCGGGGGGCGGGCGCGGCGAGCCGGCGCGCATGGCGGCGCCAATGAGGGAGGGCGCGCCGGCCGGCGGAGCTCGCCCCGCGCCCCACGCGCACCCCGCCAACTTCGAGTACGATGACAACGAATGGGACATCGGCATCGGCGACCTCATCATAGACCTCGATGCCGACATAGAGAAGACCGACGAGGCGGGCGGCATGGCGGCGCGCGCCGAACCGGACGCGCAGCGCACCGCGCTCAAGATGAAGATCAAGCGCACGAAGCCCGGCACCAAGAGCTCCGAGGCGAAGCACGAGATCGTCAAGTCGAACGAGATGAACGGCGAGCCGAAGCCGCCGCCGCCAGCGCCCGCCGCGCCGCCCGCCGCTGCCAAGCGCGGCTCTGGTGGCCATCGGCGAGACAAGGCACGAGACAAGCATCACCACCCACACCCTCCCCATGACGTGAACGGAGTCGCGCGGGTTCCTCCGCCGCCGAATGCGCCGGGCCCGCCTGCCGCGCAGCCGCCCGCGCCGCTCTCCAGCGCGCTGGCCGCGCCCGCGACGCAAACCAAAAATGATTCGCGGCCGTCGCCCGCGCCGCGACTCGAATCTAAGCCCTCGGCACCCGCGCAGGCGACGCCCGCGACGCCTGTACCCGCGACTCCGCCTACTCCCGCGGCCGCGCCGCTCGTGCCCCACGCACCACCGCCACCCGCGAAACCCGAACCCGATGATTCGCGGCAACAGGAACAGCTTAGTTCGCAGCCCCCAGCCAAGAAACTAAAAACGGAACCTAAGGTAATGTGCCATTTTATATTTCGTAAGGAACTCTTACTTTGCTGTGATTAATATTTTGCATTCACAGTTAGCATTCATTTTGTAGTCACAGTCATTGATTTTACAGTTATTTTCATGCTACTATACTTTTAAGTTTATACCCGTTGTACTAAATACATTAGGAACGAGCTTCATGCTACCGCTATTGTCCATATTAATACTACAATATAATTCTTATGTCAGGAGTAAACTTCTGCTGCTTTTGTGGTTAGCGGTTGATTTGACGTCTCTGCTGATATTACAGTACCAACTGCTATTACTACTGAGAGATGATTTGATGTGAAATTAGTAGTGTAATCATTTTATAAATGGTTCAAACAAAATTATAGAGGCTCAGGCTGGGATTTAATCTCTGGATGCCTAAACCGCAGTAAAGCGTCCATAGACTGACCTATCAACGCTAAGCACCGCATAATACGTTATACAATTTAGGTATAGTGTATGTACCATACACACAGTCTGTGCCTATATGAGCAAGTATATTATTATTCTTTGATTCCAATATTAAATCATTTAAAGTACGAAGTGTATAGATAAACATATATAATTAATATGATCAACAAATTCTATTCACTAGTCTAATTACAGCTGTTCATTTCTGAACAATTCTAGGTTAAGAAAACAAGAATACAAAGAAGAAATATTGTATTACGTATACAAATAAATGAACTAGTACATATGCACTGGTAATATTTCGAAATACAGCCGGTGAAATAAAATGTTGAATCATTCCTAATGCAATTATCTGATCAACAAATCAATCCTGGCAGATAACAATAATCGCGTACTAATTGTACGATTGCTCTTATCGCGTTTGTATCGGATTGTTTCGGAGTGTATTTAATTGTCCGGGCTTAGGGCTGTTTGCGAGCTTGATTGAGTGCAAACGGTCGTGGGGAGTAATCCGCGCTGTCGCCCGCCGCATCGGTTCATTAAATCACCCTACCTACACCCCCTTGTTGGTCGCTCGCACCAAAGTCACAATGCCCGCAACGCTCTGCAAATTAATATGATTGCCAAGCAAGCATCTGACTAAAATTATACTTTATGAGTCGTGTAATTTCATACTTGTTCGCAATCTCACCTAGCGCATACGGTTCAAAATTTTGGGCACTATTTGTCTCTTTTTACATTTTATGCACTCCTAATCACATGTTTCCGAACTACATAAGTCTGCGTACAAGCTACAAATAGACGAAAGCAATAAAATCATTATAGATTATTTAGTATGATCATTTCAAAAGCATGGTATAGGATTTATTTCATAATTGACTCAATCATTTTTTATATAGCACTGGTATGTGTAGATTATGTATATTAAATTCAGACATTGCTTGTCTTGTGTATATTTGTTTAAATCATTAGTTACTCATTAGTATGCAACACTAAATGCTAGCCACTGCTACAACAGTAGACCAGTGTTTTAGAAAGCGTGTACAACTCAATCGTTGGTGCACCTGCATTACAACAACATTTTTCACGATACTCATGGGCATCATTAATCAAGCTGACGTGACTTGTTTATTGCTAAAGGCTCATGCAAATTACGTTTCATGTCTTATGAACTTATCACGTTTAACCACATCAAATTATGCTGGTTTATATTTATATCGTGTACACCAAAGTAAAACAGCTGCTTTAGTAATATACGTATCGCAACCACAATATTTTACGGCAGAAGTCAAATTACTGCGCCACATAAAGGAATAGCGTATTTTCTTATATCGTAATATTAGGTAGGGTGTCTCCCTTTACTTTTCTTGTTATTATTCGCGAGACGAGGGGAGAATCGCGACTGAATATATCGCAGTCTCCGAAATTCCTTTCATTAATCACTGTCAAGGGCTCTAAAAATTTCTAAAGTGCTTGTGGATTCAATTTAACGTTCTCCCCTAACTTGTAAAGTTTTGCGACGTAGTTGATGAATAAAGACTATATATCCTTCATCTTAGGAATGATACAGCATTGTCATAAATAGCAGATTAATAGAATAGATAAAAGCGCATATTTTTGTAGATCTTTACATATGTATTTATACATGTGATTTTTATTATTACCTACTAATATTTTAAGTTGAGCTGGTTGTTTCAGTTCAAAATAACCGGTAATATTGTTGTAACTGGTATATTCATTTGTTACCATTGGCCGAAATTTGACCATAATTGACTATAGTTTCTTTCGTCTACGACTACAAGTATACATGGTACATACTTCTTCATAAAAATTCTTTTTCATAAAAAGAACATTACACATACTACCATGCGTTTAACATACGTTATAATGCATTTTTAGGCGTTATTATACTTTTTAGGCATTATTATACAAAAATATTATTGTTTCTGAACTTCATCTGTTCCTACTCCTCAGTCCGCTGAATTTTGGTTATAATGTTACTATAGTTTTTTCTTCAAGTAATTATACATTTTTAAATCTGTCTTCTCACCTTACATTTACAACACAGAATATAATAATAATAAAACTCTTTATTGTCTACACATAAAATAATAAGAAAATACAGTAAATAGTAAAATAATAACAAAACGCGGTCTTATCGCTAAATGCAATTTCTTACTGACAACCTAGAAGAGAGGACTTATGTACATAGAATATATATAATATACTTAAGTATAACATTATTAACGTTTTCAAAATCGTCTCTCGTCGAATAACGCAATCGTCTCTATTCCTATCCTGAGTAATATAAATCCATTGTTAATAATATTATTTTTCCACACTCGCTGTCGTCCATTCGCTCCCTTTTATTTGTTATTCACAGTGTATACTACCACAATTGTTATCTTCGCTGTACAATCAAATATGTATAATACTCTATTACTATACACAGTTTAAGGGGAGTGATTGCTTTGTCAATAAAACGTTTTTCGATTCCTATTATTGATAAGATTACTTACTAATGGTTATTTAGATATTAGTGTTTTTACTTTCCTTAAATAATACTATTTATTCTTTGTCATCTAGTTTATTATTGAGGTTGAGGTTAACTGAATTAATAAAAAAAGATGAATTGACTGCTCGAAACTTTGTGATCCATTAGGTAAAAGTATACTAGTAATTTTTATTAATGAAATTTAATAACTGTTATTATAACAGATATCTCAAAATTTAAAGTAATTTTACCATACCATACCATACCTTCACAACCGTTACTCCAGATGGGGTAGTCAGAGGTATTATCTATTGTGAACGTCATGATGAACGTAATACCTAACATGTACACATCTCTAACTGAATATAATAAATATTTGAATCTGATATGGCAAGAGGGGGAATCTACCGCCGTATCTCGGATTAATTTTACTTTGTTTACTTACTTTATTAATTTTACTTTGTCTGTTTGTGTTTCCATCACCGAAAGTCTGTCAGAAATATAAATTTACAATGTGTTTTGGCGTCGGCCAGATTATTACTTTACTAAAGAGACTAGAGATTGTGAATTCATCACAACCTCTAGTCTCTTTAGTAAAGCTACAAAGGCCACGACGCTGTCTAATATTATCATATTTAACATGATGAATTAATAAGATTTCTGTTACGTGTACTAGGTAAGCATAATCTTTAGCATGTATGTATATGTCGCGGTGAATGAGGTTAATAGCACCGTTCGCTCGATTATACAGATCGCTCTGAATAAATTTACATGTTGATTGCCGCTTGATCAGTGTTCTCCCACTAAACTAACTGCTAACTGTGCTAACTGGCAGTCAAAGCTTACCGGTCTTATTAAATAAACAAGTCCTCGGCAATTTTTGAATGAATAAAGGTCTATGATTTGTATGTTTTGCACATCTAAAAATATCATATGACAGGTACATGACAAATCAGTAAAACAAAACTCTATCGTCGACAAATATGGCTACGTGTATATTATTTTGATTTAAAGCCAAACTACTGTAACGATTTTGATGAAATTTATATACGAACAAGATGATACCATGTCCTTTTAGATAAATAAAGTGTTATTATAAAAGACGGAACTATTATGTAATGAAAAAAATATATACAACCGAATCGATCTTCTTTTTTTGATGTAGGTAAAACATAAAATTCCATTGTAAACAGAGTCAATCACAAGGTTGTTGATCTGATTCGCAAAATAGCTACCGTTACCGCTTTTATAATATTGAAAAGAACTCGAAAGTGTTTTCGTCAACGTAGCTGAACCGTATGAAAAAAAACTATTATCAATGAAGAATTCTGTTGAATTTTTCGCTTCAACAACTTTATTTATCCCCCTAAACGGATGTATCGCGTTACCTGCCCGGGGCGTACCATCATTCATTTCACAAAAACGATATTGCTCTACCCAAAATGACTCGAGCTCTTAGCCGGTCGTGAATTAAAATTTTAATAACGAATATTCCAAGTAATTGATTGATGTGATAAAATATAATCACCTCTCTGGGGCCAGTTGGTCATAATGCCCGTATTGGGTCGTGTTGTCGATTGTAATAAATAAATTTATTATTGCACGAATGTTCGACGATGTTTTGTCGCTGTGCTATCTGCAGCTAATAATAAAGAACAAGTAAGAAATGAATACCTGCAAATTTTCACGTGTATTTGGTGTATTTACACTTAATATTCGGGTTACCAAAACTCTCAAAACGTTTAGCATCGTACGAAGTTCAATATGATTATAGTATTTTCGTGGCCAAAATCTCGTACAACTTGTACGAAAAAATTGTTCACACTAAAGACCAATAATCTCGTAAGTGTACTAGACTCTTCGTATGGCATCACTGCTAGATATAGGTTCTGTATACATATCTTATATCTCTTACTGACATGAAGCTGACGTGTTTATTTATTTGAACGCTATTTCTTATCTTTAAAAATACAAGTTGAATGTCGTTTTTTTATAGGCTAATGCTGAAAGAATGTTATGTTCTATTTTGGTATATATTTTAGTGTATTTAGAGAGTAAATATTGTTATATAGAG